AATCTAAAATGAAGAATATCCTTCTTCAGCAAATCCAAATTGTTGATCTAACATGAAGAATATCTACATTTAACAAATACAAATTTCCAATCTAAGGTGAAGAATATCTTTTCATAACAAATACAAATTCCAAATCTAAAATGAAGAATATCCTTCTTCAGCAAATCCAAATTGTTGATCTAACATGAAGAATATCTNATATGGAATTTTTTTCATTAAAAAATTGGTTTTTTTTCGATTTTATTTTATTTCATTTCATTGACTTTTTAATTATTTAATCAAATTATCACTACCAACAGCAAAACTAACAAACATTCGCAAACATGATGATCAAACAAATTTTTGCCAAAAATAAAATATAAGTAAAATTATCGATGTGATAGGAATTATTTTTTTTCTGAAATAACATTGTCAAAAAAAATAGACTACCAACAATAACAATGTAACATTGATCGATAATTACAATAATGAAAAAAACCGCTGATTACAATATTGGTCGATGGTGTTGTTGTGAAAAAAACCAATGATTTAATTCCTACTCAAAGAAATTCATTTCATTTTCATTCTCCTCCCTTTCTTTGTTAAATTCATCCATTCAATTACACCAGAATATAGCGTATGAACAAAAAAAATAGAATCTGAAAAGACCGTCATTTAGTTAGCCATAATGGTCTTTAATCATTCATTGTGTATACTCATGTTTTATATCTTTTATTCATTTTAATCTTATCATTTTGGATTCATTCTTGATGGAATGTTTTTTTTTGTTGCTGGTATTTCTTATGTAGTGACTTTTTTGTTGTTGTTGTTTGATTTAATTAAATTCTTTTTTTTTGTGTTAAGTCAATAAAAAACGTTGTTGTTTCATTTACACGCACGCACACACATTGATGAAGAATGTATTCGTCAATGTATAATCAAAGCATTCCTTGACTATGAGAGTTTTTTGTTATTTTTACATTTTGGTTTTTACATTAGAACAAAAAAATAATAATAATAATAAAATAAACATCCAAGAATCATTAACAACAAATGATTGATAATTCTTTTCATTGCTTTCATCAAAAAGCAGTAAACAACAAATTAATTATTTCCAGATGTCAACAAATTCATGCCTTTCAAATTATATGATTATTATTAATATCAGTATGAATTTGATAAAATAAATAATTAAAATGATAATAAAATAAAAATATGATTCTACATTTCTTGAACGAATCATACGAAAAATTCAACAAATGATATTCATCAAAAAAAATTCTTCTAACACAATAAACTAATTCAGATATCATAAAAATTAATAAATAGAATTATTATCATCATTTTTGTTTATTTATTTTGTCATGGAACCGAAGTAAACAATAAAATTTATGATTATCAATATTGTATTATGGGGTGATAATAAGGTTTTATTGTATTTACATTATCATAATTTTCTTTTTTGATGATGATAAAGAATGGCTACCATTTTTGTTTTCAATATGATGAATTCAATTGATTTTGTAATCAAAATCAAAAGGTCGATTGTATTGATATTTAGTGATTATTATTGTTAATAAGAATAATAATAGACAAGCATTATATCTGTTTTAATGTGAATGTAATCGAAATCCTAAGTCATTTCGATTTAATGTTAATGTTGATGGAACATTATTCGATAAACATCATCATCATAATCATTATCATTAAATGTTTGAATAAAAAGAAATTCGGACTTAATTTAATTTGATTCCATTAAATGCCAAGAAAGAAAAAAAAACGATTTATATGAAAGTGTAATAAAATCTTAGTAAAAATTCACTGAACTTTCATTCAAACAATTAATGACTGTCAATGACAATAGTTTTAGTATCAAAAGAGAAAAAAAATTTCATTCATTTCAAAAGGCTATCCACAATCACATTTACGTTGAACACTTTTGAATGTTACATAAAACATTTCGATAGAATTGTTTAAATTGCATCGATTTAATCATCTTGTTAAAGTATATAATAATAGTTGTGAATGAAGATTTTTAGATTATATTTTATAGCTCAATTCTAAGACAAATTTTTTGTTTTGTTTGTTTCAACTTTTAACTTTTGAATTACAAATAATCATCATCATCAAATTTGATGATGTTTGTTGTTGGGCCAAAGGATGAAAGCAAAAAAAAATCTAATTCAATTTGAAAGTGTAGAAAAAAAAACAAAATCAATGGAATAAATTTCTTTCAATTGCTGCGATATGGCTAACGAATAAAAAGAAAAAATTGATATTTTGTTTTTTTCATTCTATACATCAATTTTTTTTGTTGTTTCGACTTTTTCATTTATTCTTTTTTATTTCTCCAAAAAAACATGATTCTTATTGTGTCCATTGAAGTGCGAATTTGTTTTTCAACTTTTTTTTCATCATATCAATTTCCATGTTTTTAGTATTTTGTTTAAGTGCTTTTATTTCTTGTGAAAAAAGCAACGTCCAATTCATATGATTATTTCATTGCCAAATTCTTCGTATTTGTGGATACTTTCTATCTTTTATGATATAGAGGTTGTCATGGATCATTTCTATGTTAAAATCTTTGATTTTTTCATAGATAGTATTCAATGAGAAATATTGTTACATTTTGTATCTAAAAACGATAAAAAGTTACAAAAAGTAAAGTTTTTTTTTATATTTCATTTATGTGTGATTGATGAAAAGCGATTTTTAATCAAAAAATCGATTACTTATTGATGCTTTTTTTTGTCTACATTTTTTACATTTTTGTTGTTTTGGATTCAAGAAATAAAAAGCATGATGAAAACAAATTTTTTTTTTGTTAAAAACATTCCGCTACTTTTAATGATTTCTAAATTGACATTAGATTAATTATTTGATAAATTGTTTCAGGTTGTAAGCACTATTCATTTTTAATCGATTTCACTGTTTTTTTTCTTATTTTAAGAAGAAGAATGACTGAATGACTTTCCAAGTTATTCCATCAATCCATCATTAATCAGAATGCTTAGCATTTTGATAAAAATAAACAAATAATGAATCAAACAAATTGATAAAAGTTTTTTTATTCACTTGTCAATAAAAATCAGATTTTCAAATTCATTATAAGAATTTGAGCATATCAAGTCAGGGGATGTATATTTTGTTCAACAAAAAGCATCTGTTTTTTTCCTAATCTATTGATAAAAATCAAACATTATTATTCTTCTAATATGGCATGGTGGTTATTTTCACAGCTCATTATTTTGCAAATCATTATTGCAAATTGATGATTTTGAAAACAATTTTTAAATACGGATTAAATAAAATGATGACAAAGAAGTTAGCTGAAATGATTATTATTTAATAGCAATGTTTGTGTGTGTGTTTATATGGTTATTTCAAAGATATTCTTCAACTAATGCTTTTTCGTGATTACACTATGGCAGATAATTCATTTTCCTTTTATTTTTCATTAAAAAAAAGTTCTTATTATTGCCTATGGGGCATCTTCTTAAATATTTTTGTAATTATACAGGAACTCACGTTTTGACATGATTATGTTCCTGTAATCAAAAGAAGAATAAAAACTTTTTTGATTCAAATAATTGTAATGAGATAATGAAAAAAGTAAAGATTGTCTTTCTCCTTTTTCATCTACTATCACAAATGATGATGATGATGATGATTATAATGAGATGTTATGAAACAATCGTTTATTCGTATATTACCGTATCAATCAAATCAAAAGAAAGAAGGAAAGAAAATCATTTATAGGAAATAAAAAGAAAGAAAAAAACTTTGAGTGTTTGTTCAATCATCAAAAATCATAACAACAAATATAAACTAAGCATATCATTCAAATTCATAGATGATCAAAACGACAACCGAAAAATAAACTTTTTACTTTCATTGTTCTAATTTCCTGATTGTTATCTTTTCTCTCTTTTTTTGCATCATCACTTTCATTATATGACACTTCCTATGACACATGCATTCATATTGAAAGGTTCCATCACCAATCTGGATGATAGCTATAGCTGTTCAGATGGTTCAACACGTTTACAGAAACAGAAACGAATTTGGGGTGTATTGGGAGCTGCATCAAGTGCAACATCGATTCAAGTTGCCAATCTACTACGATTGTTTCGTATCCCACAAGTAAGTGAATGGCTAACTTTATTTTTTTTTATAATAATGAAAATTCTTTGAATCATTCATGTGCAAAAAAATGCAACAAACAAATTTTAAGTATACTCAATCCACTTAATTCTGTTTTCTTTTTCTTTTTTTTACGGCGCGATTTTTCTTTTATAAACGAGCCGAGATTTTTCGTTTCATTAAAAAAACAAAAAAAAACTCTACACTAATAAAATAAAACCCAAATATTCTGTTTACTCAACGAACCATGTTATTTTTTATTCTTTTCATTCAATTTTTTCCACTTTCTCATTTTTACTGTTTTCTTTATTTGAAACATAAATCTAGGTGAGCTTTTTTTCGACAAGCTCCGAACTAAGCAATAAACAACGTTTTGAATATTTTCTACGTACAGTACCAAGCGATAAAAGTCAAGCAATGGTTATTGTTGAGATAGTCAAAAGGCTTAACTGGTCATATGTTTCTATTATTTATGAAGAGTCAATTTATGGTATAAGGGTAAGTTTATTATTTTATATTCTTTGTTGATATTGATGTAAATAAGGCCCAAAATCTAATAAATTGATGATAAACATCCATTTTCCTTTAATGTTGGTCGTATTTAATACATCTTGCATTCGTTTTTTTTCTCAGAAAAATTAATGTCACTTTTTTTAAATCGTTTCCAAAATTTTTTATTTTTATTAAATAAATAAAAAATCTCTATTACAAACAAACAAAAAAAAAGAAAATTTTCTTAATATGATGCATTCGCTTTGTTAGTAAAAGAATTGTCTGCTGTTTTATTATTTTTTTAAATTTAAACCTTGTAATACGATTTTAATTGAAAAAAATCTCATTAATTAGTTTTTGACCAATAAAGACAAAAACTGATTATTATTATTTTGTTAAAATTACCAACTTCACACATATTGATCCATTAAATAGTTTTGTTCGCTTTTTTTAATGTAAAAATTTCATTAGTTATCAAATCTATTGGCACGATAATGAACCTTATTTTCTCTGTATTTCTATCTGTGCGTAAGGAAGAATGTTTTTTCATTTTTGCTGTTACAGTTATAAAAAAACAAATGGATGTTTTTTTCGAATTCATTGTGATGGTAGAATTGAATTTATGCTTATTCAGCATACAACATTGAACATCAAAATGATCACAATCTACTAATCAAATGATAATCAACGTTATTTTTTTTTCTCTCCATCAAAAAAAGTATGGTAGAAAAGAATGGAAAAATTTCAATTTACAGATAACGGAAAAAACCTAATTATATTGAGGTATATAGAATTGAATAAATGAATGGGAAAAAATGGTTGTCAACATACAAAGTTGTTATTTTACATCAGATAACAGAAATTGTTCGTTTTCAAAATTGAAATTATTTTTTTAATTTTTTTTTTGTTACATGAATTTTAGTTTTTGTGATTCATGATAGAAATTATTTTATAAAATCTTTTTAATCATTATTTTTTTTAAATACAGGCATTTAATGATCTTGAAGAGCTTCTTGAAGAGACTGATATTTGTATTGCTATTAAAGAACGTTTGACCAAAGATTCTGGCATTGCAGCAAATAGTTCTTATGATAATATTGTTCGTAAATTGGCAACTAAACCAAATTCAAAAGGTAAGCTAATATTATCTTATTCAATGTTTATTAGGAAATTTGAGCTTATTTTTATCGAAAATCATAATCAAAACGGTTTTCATTATGATTTTTTCCCTATTAATTTTTTGTTCATATACATTCCATAGAAAAAATCGTTGAAACCACATGATCCTATTATCTACATAGTGATTATATGAATTAATAAAAGCGACTGTAATTTGAAATTTTTTTTTTCAATTTGAAAAAAATTAATTTCTAAAAATAATTTTCATTTCCACAAATTTGAACAATGTATGGAATAATATTGAAAACTCGAATTTGAATTGAATTTCCCGTTTTTGTTTTTTTTTTCATTTGTTTGTCGATGATGTTTTTTCCCTTGTAATATTGATGATGCTACAAATATCGAACGAATTATATATGGTTTTTTAGTTGCTAGAAAAATTTGTGCAATATATTATCAACAACAAAAAACAGGAGAAAAATTGCTAATTGGTTGCCCAAGGAAATTCTGCATTTTATTCGCATTTGTTTCAATCAACTTTAGCTGCATTTTTTCTGTTCATTGAACATATCGCCAAAAAAAGAAGAGAAATGCGAAACTTTTTTATTTATTTTTTTTATGATAAAAATAAACTTATCAAATTCTTCATTTCCATAATCATAATAAAATTTTAGTTTCGAAAATACTTTCAAAGTTTCAAGTCATTTTATTTGAATACCATGGTAAAATGAAAAAATAGAGTCTAAGTGCAAATATTTGTACATTTTTTTATTAGTTATTAGATTTCTTTTGGTCTTGTCTTGTTTATATTTTGATTTCACTAGAAATCAATGACATCGACCAAGAATCTTTTATTATATAAGAATTTTTTTTTCTTGTTCTGTTATTCTTCGTAATTTGATATGTCCAATCAATTTGATGTACGATGTCAATTTTTTCATCGATCTAATTTGATTTTAAGACATCAGGGATTTTTGGATCAATTAATAAAACATTTTATCATCACTGATTTGGTTGGTTGATTAATGCATGAATGCAAACAATGTACGATACAAGACAAGAAACATCCATTTTCGATGGTGTTAATATTGAATAATGCTTTTATTATAAGTGATAAATGGCCCATAAAATCAATTTGATTAATTTTCCATTGTAATGTGTCATTTTTTTTTTGGTGGACCGATTCTTTTCTTTAAAACGTATTTCTTAATACTTTGAATCGGTTTGCTAACCATATAATATATTATTGCAATGCATTTAATTTCTTTATGTTCATTTATTTATTATTTATTTATTCATTCATTTAACCATTCAACCATATTAGGAGTGATCGTATTCGGATCTGATCAAGAGGTAGCATTATTAATGCAAGCAGTTAAACGTAACAATGCTACTGGTCAATTTTATTGGATTGGTTCGGATGGCTGGAGTGCAAGAAAACTAGTATACGATGGTAATGAACATCAAGTTGAAGGAACAATTTCGGTACAACCAATGGCAAGTCCTGTACCAGGTTTTTTTGATTATTTTTTCTCATTGACACCACAAAATAATATTCGAAATCCATGGTTCATTGAATATTGGGAACATACGTTCAAATGTAAATGGCCCAATAGTGATTATACACCATATAATTTGGAATTTAAAAAGTAAGTTGTCTATTCTGTTTTATTTACTTCAATAGAACCACAAATGCTTTATGCATGTTTTGAATTCCATTTTTAATTAGTTTTTTTTCAAAATTATTTTATTTTTTGTTTATTTTTCCAAATAATTTTGTTTTCACCTCCTCCGTTTATTTTTTGTTATCAAAACAATTTTTTGCTTTGTTTTGCCAAAAATTAGCATTTTTCTATTTTGTTTTTATAATGATAAGTGTAATCAAATTATCAAAACATACACATACATTTAATTTTCCATCTATTTCATTTTGTTCACATCAATAACATTATTTTAATAAAAAAAATGGAACAATGGAAATAGAAATTGTACTGGTTATGAACGAACAATGATAGCTGAAAATGAAAGCGATGATGATGTTGAAATGCAATTACAATTTGTCAGTGATGCTGTACTTGCATTCGCTTATGCTATACAATCGATGCAACGTGAATTATGTTCCGGTACTCATGGTGTTTGTCCACGAATGTTGGCCGCTGATGGTAGCCAATTATTACAACATTTACGCACTGTTCAATTCAAAGGTAAGTGAATAGAATTTCTGTTATTCAGATTTCGAGAAGGAACATTTTTTTCTATTAGATTTACTTTTTCTCACATATAATTCATCATTATTAGACCTATGAAAAAACTGCCGATTTTCTTTATTTTGCAAATTAAAATGAGATTTTTTTCTTGGAAAAATTTTCTAGTCAACATGTAAATGACATAAAAATGATTATTTTCTAGTATGAAATAATAACGATTGTTGAATTAAACGACTTTTTCTTATTAAAATAAATCTAGATGTTTTGATGAAAATCGATTCAAAATCGCTTTGAGAGATTTATTTCAACACGACATGTTTATTTCTTATTTGTACCATATCATACATGTCGTTATTATTAAGTATTATTATCATAATGGCTTCACAAATAAAACCATTAACAATAACATTAAGATTTTTTTTAAGCTATTTACCATCTATCATAGTCATTCTATAAACATCACTTTCAAAAGTATTCCATTCTTATGATTAGGAAAAATGTTCATTGCCTCTAAAAACATATAATAATAATACTTACTTTCAATGGCTTAAATTCTTTTTTAGCTTTGTTTTCAACGGAAATATTTTGCTTTTCTATTGTTTGAATATTGAATAATAAGAATTTTTAATATATTCTGATATATGCAAACAAAACAAAACAAAAAACTCGTTGACAAATATGAAACAAAGACGCTTTTATTATCATTTTTGTTTTGTTTTGTTGTTGACATACATTGATCTCGTTTGATGATAAAATTTAATGTTGACTTGTCAATTGTTATGTAATTGAGTATTTTTATTTTTTTTGCACATTTTTTTCACAATACAATTTTCTATTTCATTTAAAATCTCCTCTAAATAGTGAAATTTTAGGACATCAAATTTAAAAAAAAAAATTCATCACATACACATAGAAATTTGTATTTGATTTAAATCTAAAAAAAATCGACATTTTTTTCTATTTTTGTAACTGAAATGTAATGATAGTCAAAAATAAAAATAAAATCAAACCAAATTCAAAGTGGAAACTTCCTTTATTTGTTTTATTTGTTGTATATTTCAAAAAACGGAAATATGAAAAAAATGAATTCGAAAAGATTTTTTCATCATCATCATGATTTATCTTGCTAGTTATGATTATTTATTTGTCGAACAATATTATTATTATGATAACATTCAAAAAAAAAATATATCCGTTTCATTTGGATTGATGAAAAATAATACCCATCGGGTATATATGATAATGATGATATTGAAATCCGATAGTGAATTTATTGAATGGAATTTTTTTTTTGTATTTGATTTCCAAAACAAAAAAAATGAGAATTTTGGTTCGAAGAATTCTTTATTCATTCTAACGAATTTTGTTGTTTTCTGTTGTTATTATGTTTGTTGGCTAGTCTCAATGGCTATCGATTCCAAATATTTTAAATTGGATTCGATTGTGTAATGTATTTGTTTTCTTTTCACAACGATCAGATTGAGACTAAGACTTGATCGATTTTCATCGTATCAGTTTGTTGAACAACATTCATTCAACCACTGAAGATAAATGAATGAATAAATATTAATCTTGGGTATTAGATCTGAGGGTTTTTTTCAATTTTTTTTTTGTTCGTTCGTTTGATTGTTTCTTTTATGAAAGTGAAGAGCTGTCCAACCAACAACTAACAACTTTTTTTCAGTTACTTTAATCGAGATTTTATCTTCATTTTTCTTTAAATCATTTCATCGATTTTTTTTCTGGTTGTGAAATTTTTTTTTGAACATTTTTTTTGTCGAAATTCTGTAATTTTTAACGACAATATATTGATGTTGCTTGTTCATTGTGATAAAACTTATGATATTGCCACACTATCGGACACAAAGTAATCAAGAATTTTTTTTTGTTTGACAATACTTTTGTAGCATTAGAAGAATTAGATTGTATCGGACTGAATGATGATGAGTTTTTTTTTCTTTCGAGTTGAAATAGAAAAAAAAATATAAATATTTCACTGTCGAAACATATATAAAGATTGTTCAGCTCACACTTCTTTTGTATCATTCATTCGCCATTTCAATCAATGGAATCCTTAATCTTTTTTTTTCACTCCCTCTCATTCTAATTCAATCATTCCTTTGTTCATTTATTTTATTCATTCATTCAATATATAAGAAATGTTTAAAAATTCAAGTGAATGACGTGCACAATCAAACATACAAGAAAATTTTCTCTTTCTTTTTTTTTTGTTGACATTTTCTTGCTGTGCTAACATATCATTTTGATGGATTCTCTTTTTAAATTTTCAAATAAAGATGATGTTCATGATGATTATGATGAAAGAAAGAAAAAAAGGAACTGATTGGATGGAAAATGTTTTTTTTCTCCTCGCAACTTTCATCAAGAATATCAAAATTATGTTGATGATGTTGATCCATCCATTCATTCATTCGTTTATTCAGAATTTATATATAACACAAACATTCACAAAAAAACATATAATGCAATCAGGATTATTATTGACAAAACGTTTTTTTCGTTTTCATTTTTTGTTTGTTTGTTTGTTTGTTAGGTTTTTCATTTCCATGAAATGATTTTCATTGTTAAAGAAAAGATTTTGCCAATTTTTTATATTGTTGGATCAATTCATTTCCATTTCTTTAATATTTAGGCTATTGTTATTGATTAAATGAAACTTGTTTTTATCATTGTCAAAATGTTTCATCATCATCATTATAAGCATAGAGAAAACCATAATAATCATTTTGTTTGTCTGTCGTTTGTAGAATCATTAAATGCTTGATTTTTTGTTGTTGCTTCCAAACATAAAACGATTCACGATTCTTTTCTTTCATTTTCGTTTATGGTGTTGCCAGCATATACGAAGTAATCAATATTCCATCATCAATCTGCTACTTTTATATAAGCGTGAAAATAACTTTATCCGTTGAATTTATTTTCTGGTCCGCTTAAATATTTTCCCATTTTTCTTTCAAGGTTCAAGTTGTTGCGTGTTACTATTTGGTTGTGGTTAAATTGATTTAACGCCACAAAAAAAAATAATCAACAAGATCATTATTCAACGAAAATTTTGTTCTTGTTGTTTTTTCTATCTTGATCTTTGAAAAAAATGTAATTTTCTATCTGTTTTCTTCCGGATTGAACCGAACGAATGTTTTTTTTTGTGAGTTATTTTATACAGGTTGGGCCTAGGCTAGGAAACTCGCTTATGCTTTGTTGACATTTGTCTCATCGGGAATTCGAATTCCAATTTTCGATTCTGTTCATATATGTCGTTTTTGTGAGCAAAAGAAAAAAAGAATGACAAAAAGTTGGTTTTGTTTTTGAGATTTTTTTTTTATTCATTCATTAAACTCACAAACAATACAAAATAGAATCCATGTGTATTTCGTCATCGTAAGTGATGATAAAACCAACAAAAAAAAAAGAAAAAGAAAAAAGTAAACCCAGTGATCCGAATAATGTTATTCAATGATTTTAACTTAAGCTCGATATATAAAAAAAATTTCATCACATTAATCGATCTAATCAATTATCAATTTTCATTTTGTCGACTGGTATGGTATACATGACAAGACCACTGAATGTCGAGAAAAAAAACCATGAAAATTAAAAATAAAGAAAATTTTTCATCGAATCAATTTGATCTTTTGAATGAAAAAAAGAAAAAAAAACATGTCAACTTTTATTTGCTGATCTTAAATCCAATAAATTCTTTTCATCAGTTATTCTAATATATTCAAACTTAGTGTCGTATTTATTTCTGTGGTTTGTTTTTCTCCAATTTTCGGAATTTTTATCAGAATTTTTTTTTCGCACTTTGATTGGTAATTCGTTGCTGTTTTTTGTTGTTGTTGTTGTTTGTAGGAATTTCAATCTCTTTTGAATCAGTTTGATTGAAAACGAAAAAAATTTATTCGTTGTCAAGGGTATACTAAAAAAATTTAGATTTTTCAAAATGGCTTAGTTGTTTCGAAATCATTTAAATTGCAAAATGCAAAATTATTTTCGAGAATTCATTTTATCTCAAACAAAAATTACAGAGTCATCTGTTGACAATATGGAATTTTTTTTTCATTCGAAATCTGTTTATGTTTGTCCATTTTTTTCGGTTACTTTGGTTTTTTTTGGATTATATTTCTGTTTGTATACCATATTTTCTCTCTCTTTCTGGACATTTTATTTTTTTCTCAATCCATTCGTTTTTTCAACAATCATCATCATCATCATAGTCAAAACCATCAAGTGTTTGTATATGTGTGTGTAATGTTGTAAGAATAACTATCCGGAAGGAGAAAAAAAAAACATTCTTTCCAACGATCACAAGTCACGTTCTATTTGATTAGATGTGTAAGTGAGTGGTTTTTCTTTTTCTGTTTTTTTTTTGTTCATCCATTTTTATAATGCCTTGTATGGCATTTTCACTTATTCTCATTCAAAATGCAGAATCTGTTTCAGTATAGTATTCATTATCTGGTTATTTATTTGTTAAATCACGGTTATCAAATATTTGTTTATATATAGAAATGAAGAAAAATATTAGAAAAAAAACACACACAAACACACTACAACCACCCACCACTTATCATACCATCCCGATTGTAAATGTATGTATACAATACATTTGTAAATATATTTTTAAGGCTTATATTCCATGCCATTAATATATATATTTTTTTTTATTGTTAGTATTTTTCAATGTTTTTTTATATGATTTTTTTTAATTGGATCCTTGTATACAAAAAAAGGACGAAGTCAAATGAAAAAAAAAATCCCAATATTAAATCTCACGTTTTGGTTCTTTTTGTTTTTGTTGTTGTTGTTTTTACCATTTCAAATCGAACATCATTTATTTATCGATCGATAATAATAATAATAATTTTTTTCTTTTCAATCAATTTTTTTTTGTTTTGTTTCAAGATGAAATTTATTTTAATGTCTGTTTGTTGTTGTTGTTGTTTTGTTGTTGTTGTTCGTTTGATTTGGTCGATTTCATTTTTTTTCGGTTAAATATAAAGCGTTGTGATGGAACAACACAATTTCACAGAATCTCATGGATGACATGAACAAATAATTTTATTATGATGATAATAGTGTAATGATCGTATGGCAGTTGTTCATTTTTTAAATGATATTTTTGATTTATTATGAAAATTTACATTTGCAAATAATAATTTGAAAATAAATAACATCAATTTTTTTCTTCTCGTTTATTATTTCAAAAATAATATTATTATTTAGGAATGAATGGTCATGAATTTCATTTTGCTGAAAATGGTGATGGCCCTTCACGTTATCGTATAATTCATTTTAAACAAGTTGAAGAAAATAAATTCGATTGGATACAAGTGGGCGAATATGTTTATGGAAATTTGAATATAAATTTAAGTAAAGTACAATTTCGTCTATTGGATCCTGATCCACCAATATCAGTTTGTAGTCAACCATGCGAAAAAGGTCAAGCAAAATCATTTCTTGAAGGAGAAAAATGCTGTTTTCATTGTATCAATTGTACAAAATATCAAATATTAGTATCGGAAACACAATGTATTGATTGTCCATCAGGTTTTCTTCCCGATTCCGAACAAATCGAATGTATTGAAATACCCGGTAAGTTTGTTATTGTTAAATTTTGATTTTTCCACTTATTTTATGATAATCATACATTGAATTTGTTTTGTTATTTTTTTCATACCTACATTTTGATGGACGACATCTAACAATTGGAAAAAAACGTTCAATCATTATCAGAGGAATATATGCGACCCGATAGTTCCTGGTCTGTTGGAGCGCTAATATTTGCATCCATCGGTATTGTTTTCACAATTTTTGTCATCATCATTTTTATTCGTCATAATGATACACCTGTGGTCCGTGCTTCTGGTCGTGAATTATGTTATGTGCTTTTAATCGGCATTCTTATGTGCTATAGTATGACATTGTTTTTGGTACAAAAACCAACCATTTTTATCTGTGGTGTACAAAAGGCTGGTATTGGCCTTTGCTTTTCCGTCGTATATTCTGCCATATTAATCAAAACGAATCGTATTTCACGTATATTTAAAGCCGGAAAACGTTCAGCACGTCGCCCTTCATTTATAAGTCCAAAATCACAGTTATTAATCTGTGGCGGTCTCATCATGATTCAGTGCTTTATCATTGCCATCTGGTTTGCATTTACACCCCCAAAAGTAATTCATTTTTATCCAACGCGTGAAGACAATAAGCTTATCTGTCAAGCGTCCATTAATGCTGGATATTTTGTTGCATTTATGTATCCTATATTTCTAATCGGTTCGTATTGATCATTTTTTTCACCACGAATATATTGAAAAACTGAAACATGACAAATGCATTAAAACTAGACTGATAAAAAAAACATAATAAAAACAGAATAACAACATTCTCGTCTGAAAAAAATGACCAGGCTAAATGATTTTTTTTCTTTACATTTCTATTTAATAAACTAATTTTTTTTGAAATGAATGATTCAGTTGATTGAATCGTAAAAAAGTATGATGACTGTTCCCATTGGGAAAAAAATAACGATTTTGCCGATTTAATTATCGTTTTTTTTTGCCTTGATATACCATGATGACGATTTTAATTTTTAGCGAGTGTTTTTATTTATTAATATTTTTTTTTGTTTTGTTTCAATTATTTCGGCCATCACACAACATTTACCGGATGTATACTATTAATATGATGATAAAAATAGATGACAAAAATCTAACTATCGGTCATAATATTCTGCATTAAGCCATGCATGAAAAAAATACAAAGTTCAAAAATTGATGATCGACTATAACTTTTTTTTCCATTTGAATTATTCATTCATGCTTTCAAGTTTCGTGAAAACAGAAACCTATAGCGATAGAATAGCAATAGAATAAATAAATAAAAAATTTGGCATTATGATTCAAGGACATACATTTCAAATATAAATTCCTTATGATGATTTTTTTTCTCTCATAGAAAAACAAACAACAATTACATATGTTTTGTTTGGTGATCGAAGAGAAAAACATAATCAACTTTTCACCATTTTTCTTATTCTCTTTTTCTCTCTTTTCAAATTCTACCAAGAACTTTAATTCAATGAAGATGTAATGGCAACTTTTTTTTTGTTTTATTTTATTCAATTACTTTTCTTTTTGGTTTTGTGTATGTGTGTTCAGGGTGTTTGGACGACGATGACGATGATAATAATAATAATAAAGAAGATACTAATTGAGTCACGTAGGGTTCGATTAAAATCGGCTAAATATTGTTTTGCTATATATGATTATGATGATTGAAAAGTCACTAACTATAATGGAAAAATAGATAGTAATTCTTCCAACACCATATATACGAATAATAATGTATACGGATGTAAAGAAAAACAAATCCATTTCTAATTTTTGATAATAACCAAACATGTATTTATAGCCGTTAAGAACGGAAACAATCAGTTTTTTCTGCTTATTTTTTCCTCTTTTTATATTTCGTTTCATCATATTATTTATTTTGGTGACTTGATTCCATTTTTGATCTCATCTTAATTTTATCTGTACTATTTTTTTTTCTTCAACTATCATACTATTATTATTAGAAAGAATTATTGAGTAAACAAAAGTTGATTATAGAAAGTTTTTATGAGTATTTGTATTTGTTCAATATATTATCAAATCAAGAAATAAGAAATATAATAATATTAATGGCCTACCGAATATCTGGATAAATATTATGATTATTAATAAAAAAAAAACATGTCAAATAATGATGTAAAAAAAAATAATAATAAAATGTGCGAAAATAAATTGATTTCATAACTAATCTCTTGTCTCAATATCATCTATTTTGTCATATTTAAAATCTCTAGAAAAAAATTGGAACAAACATATTGAATGGAAAAAGGCTTTTGATAATATTATTATTCTTTTTGCCATTGATAACATAATGATCATATCATATTATCTTTTGTTCTTTTCCCATGTGTGTTTGGTACAAAATTTCATCGTGATCAAATTAGGTAAAAATAAAAAATTAAAGTTTGTGTTGTCATATATGAATCAACAGAAAATGAAATCAAAAAATATTATAACAACATATATTATTATCCATTGTGAAACAGGTAAAGACTATTATTAGTGTATAATTTGTGTCACCACAAAACATCAGACATTCTTATTTCATTTCATTTTATATTCCGTTGATATTTTAAACAGTTAATTTTTTTTTGTAAGATTTTTTTTATATTTCTTGTTTGACAAACTAAACATTTTATGCAAATAATCTAAAAAAAATCATGTTTATTTGAATTGAATAAACATGAAATGAATGAACAGTTTGTATCGATTCGTAAGAATGTGTACACACTATGCTTGTATGTTTGTGTTTTCTCTACATCATCAATTTCTATTCTTGACAAAAGAATCCAGTAAAATTTTGTATAGTCATTCAAAATGATGCCAATAAAGATGTTTTTGTTTGCGGTAAAATTCAACAACTCGAATTTTAGCTCTAACATTTGATTATTTGTTCTATTTTTTCATCTTACAAAATCACCCTTTGGATACAGATTGCAGATTCAGTTTCATTCTTTCCATTAGATATTACGATAAGTTTTCAATACACTCTGAATACCTGGTAAATGCATTGAATGCAATTGTTTTATGTTGAATTCCACATTTTAGTTTTCTTTTTGGATTAACACTGAGACTATAGTCAATTTATTTATTTTTTCAGAATTTTTCACATCGAATCTAGATACTTTTAAGCCTATTTCCCTGTTTGATATACAAAATTTTTTTATGTTTCCGATTTCATGAATAAAAAAAATGTCGAAACAAAATCAACTGTCTGCGAATTTTGTTGTTGTCATTCCATTAATTTTGATTTTTTTAACTATTTCACACATTGGGCCATCACACAATTATTTCAAATAAACAATAGTAACCTAATGTGAACAAAAAATAAACGTTAACGGTGGCTTACAATTTTGACTGTTCATTCTTTCATGTTGTTTCTAAATTTCGATTCTCTTTCATCTTTCTTTCCTATTGCAGATTCAAAACAACAAAAAAAAAGTTGACTTTTCCTTTTCACATTTTTCATCATCATGTCAAAATTTCCTTACGTTTGTTTTTTGTTTTTGTTTTGCAATGGGAATAAGGTTTTTTCCCTGAACTCCATTTTAAAATGCTTTAACTAAATGGGCATCTCAGCTTCTGGTTATTTCTTCTTTTTTTTATTCTCTTTTTCTCCGAAAATTTTTGTCATTGAAAAATGGATTTTTGATTTTTTTTCTTTTGCCAACTCGTTTTTATTTGCATTTTTTCACTTGTATATTTCATATATTATCATAAAAGTTTTATTCTATTTCATCATAAATATATAAAAATAAATAAATGACCGATTTTGGAATGAGAAAAAATACGGATTGTAAAATGCAAAATATTTAAGAATTCAAAAAAAATTGAACATTTTTTCGTGTGTTAAGAAAATCAACTTTTTCTTATCATTGATGAAATCAAATCGGCACACATGCATCATTCCTGTTTTTGGTTTCGAAAAAATTCTGCCATAGCAAGCCAGTTTTATTAGACTAAAGATCAGTCATATTTTTTTCATAAAATATGACTGATCTTTACCCATAGTTTCAAGAATAAATGTGACGCAATCAATCATTGTCTATTCGTGCTATGTTTTGAATTTCTAAAATTACAAAATATAAATGCAAAATATATTGCTTTGAATAATAAAATGTTTAACCAGAAAAAGTGACTCGTAACTTGTTGCAATCAATATAACGACTTTTTTCTATTTTATTATTCATCATATTCTATATCAGATCAAAATAAAAAATATTCTATTCAAATCATATATGTATGAATTTCGAAATTGTATTTTTATCTTTGTCAATCATGTTGATTTTATTTTTGTTTGAAAATAAAGACATCATTGAAATTTATTCATTGAAATTGTTGAATTATTTTCATTGTTTATCACAACAATGAATGCTTTTATCATATGAATTCGGTTTTATTTAGAAAATAGGTTTTTTGATGATAAATATGCATCTAGTATTAATGAATAAATAGAAAATAGAACAAAACAATAGAAATATTTCAGACCATTGAATATTTTTTTTAATATCACAAATATTCAAATATTGTTTTTCTTTCAGGAGATTTAACTGTTCATCAGATTCCCAAATATGAGCTTTTTTCATTATTTTTTTCTAAAAAAGCTCAACTATGAAAGGATTATACGGTACTGAATCAATATAAAAATGATATTAGATATGATGATAATGATGCTGAGATATCAATTTTTTTAATGTTACTTTATCATTTTCGTTTTAACCGAGACTTTCTTTTTTTCAATTTATTTTTCAAACATTAATATTAAAAGAATGCGAATACAATACGTTTGTAAATCCGTATTCATTATCATCATGTAAGACTACATTTACAATGAATTGAAATAAGTTATTCCATTAGTCGTTTCAAGCTTCAATGTACTTATTTGAATTTAGAATAATATTAAAAAATAAAAAAAAATTCTAATCCTTTGGCATGAATGATGATGTTTACTTGTATATAATTATAATTTTCATGGTTTGAATAACAATGTTGAATATAAACTTAGTTTATAATAAGTAAACTTTGTTAGAAAAATAATAAATTCTGATATTTTTTCAAGTTTATTCATAAACATAAATTTGAAACAATTTTTTATTCTGTTTTTGATCGAAAAATGTTTTCAAGTTAGTTAATGGTTTATTTATTAGTTTATTGTTTTTAGAAATTTTCCATTCCAGAATTTTATATACACTATGTCGAATCTTTGTCGATTAGGTGTAATTGAACAAGAGCTTGATTTTATCATTTATCATATTGTCAATGTTCTGATTATTATACCTTAGTAAACTTCTCAAGTGAATGAAAAAAACCAGATGAAACAAAATGCATAAAAATTCTAAATTATTCATTAATTCATAAATATTCAGAGGTGATTTTGTATGATTAATTTGTCATTTATGATTCTAATCTTGTGTTTCGTGGATTCAACATACATTTTTGTATATATTATCTGGTAATAATGATCATTACATATTTTTTTGAATGTTAATTATGATGTTATTATGATTATTTGAGCTCTAAAATAACAATGCTTTTATTTTGAAATCGTTTTTTGAAAACATCTAAATCATATTCGACTAAAACATTTCGTGATCATTTTGTTTTTTTTTACATTTCATGCTCCGACAAACGCTACCTAATTTTTTATATGATTACTTGATGGGCATTTTCTAATTTTTTGGTCTCACCAACAAAAAAGATGCTATGCTAAAATATTTACAAAAAACAAAAATGAAATGTTTGACCATGTTTTATCTAGCGGAAAATTTGCCTATTAATAAAATTGAATTCTGAAAAAACCCTAAATTATACCAATGTTTCTATTGCTTTTATATGGGAAAAATTTCAAATAAAATTTTGTCCAAATTTTCGTCACTGATACCTTATATGGGCCAAATAAATCAGTTAATGTCGAGAAAAAGTAATCAAAAAAAAAGAAAAATTCTCATTTTCATTTAGAAATGATATTTTACATTCTCATTACATTGATTTGATGTGATCATAAAAATTTCCATTTTTTTCAATCACGATAAAAATTTTATTTTTTTCCAATTTTTTTCATGCTTAAGAAATGAATTTTAAATAATGATAGTGAAACATTTCATCTTTAAAAGTTTTTATTTTCGGAATTTTTTAATAATAAACGAAAAAAATTATTCCTATCAAATCAGCATATATTAAATGATGTCAAAACATTATGATGACAAGCAATGTGTTTTCGTTTGCTATGACCTTTCTATGTGTATGAATGTAGGGGAAAATTCAATCATTCAGACATTGCCTAGCAGAACCATATAGTTAGAATGTTTAATAATAATAATTAATATGCTAAAAACGGAATGAAGAATCGTTCTTGTATCATTAAGCCTTTTAAAGTATCTAGAATAATTTGCCAAAATTTCAAACGAGATGAAAAAAAATTTTGTTTCGTGAGAAAATGTACAGAAGACGTATTTTGCATTTTTTTCACTGCCATTCTTTTCGTCGAATTCTTAATTGTCAAAATGAAAAAAAAATTCACAACGGAAATATATCAAAGAATTAGATATAATTAGCTATAGAATTCATACAATAATAGCGTAATAATAATTGTAACCGATGAAAGAATAAATGATTTTTTTTAATGTTTCTCACTCTATGTATGTGTATGCAATGTTTCACTTACATTCTAATTAGAATTGATGATAATGATGCATTTAGTTAAATTTTTTTTTAAATTTATTGAATCGACTAATATTCAATAGATCCATTAGACAATTTTGTTCTTATCAGGCAAATTTTTCACGTTTCCTTTTCCACATATTTTTGTTTTTTATATTTCATTCATTTAAAAACCACTAAATTCATATATATAACCTTTGATTTATATAAAGTTCCTTTATTCTTTGCTTTGAAAGTTATCATTAATGATAGAGATTTTTCATTGTTTTTTGTTTTTGTTATCGAAGCCAGTAGAATCTTTTTTTTTAACTCTCACTTTCATTTCGGCTGAAAAAAAGTATACGAGAAAAAAAATAAATAAAAACAAACGACAAATCTTTGATCGTATACCTATTATCTATGATGATACTAATAATACAAAGTGAAAAGTTTGTATGTCGTTTATATGATTGTAAATTTCTTCTTTTTCTTGCTATTTCTCTTAAAATGTCATTCATTTAACTTGAAAAAGTTTTTTATCTTTGCTCTATTTTCAGAAAAAATGATTTACCACAACGGATAATATAAAATTTGGACTATATTTTTCATTTTTTTTGTTGTTCATCCTAATTCCATGTGTTGTCATTCTGTTTAAAAATATCGTTAACTTAATCATTTCATTTTATGACTCGATTCATATTACTCTTGAAAAGTATATGATTCAAACTTTTTTAATTTGCTGGACTTATATTCCATTTGATAGACATTATTTGTATTCTCTTTCTATTTTTTCTTTGCAAGTGTGTTTGTGTGTATGAAGATGAGTGATACTTATATTTTAGGTTGCATTAAAAGCTTCACTCTATATCTTCATTTTCATTAAGATCTTTTTCTTTGAAAAAAATACAAATCATCTTGTTTATAATAATCATTATATTTGGTTTTTCGTTCGTTTTTTCTGGAATTTTTAAATCATTTTCATATTTGTAATGTTTATTTTCCATAGAATTAACAAGTATGGCATAAATCAGTTCGATGATGTTCGAAATAGGAGACTGATATTTTGTTCTCTTATAGAAACATAGGAATCTCTTTATTTACATTATAAATCAGGGCATTTATCTTTTTATTAATCTTTTTTTGAGTGGTTATGATAAAAAATTTCATGACAAATTATCGGGAACTTCTTTATTTAAGTTATGTTTTATTTACATCTAAGAATAAATTCAATTTTCTTGTTTTGTTTCTTTTTTTATCATTGATTGATATGAAATAGTGGTCTGTACTGTTTACGCTGTGATAACACGTAATATACCAGAAGCATTCAATGAATCAAAATTCATCGGTTTTACTATGTATACAACTTGTATTATATGGCTTGCATTTGTGCCAATATATTTTACATCATCACAAAGTAATCATATAGCGCTCAATTTGACAACATTATCTGTTTCAATATCACTTAGTGCAACGGTTACATTATTGTGCCTATTTTCACCAAAATTATACATTATTCTTTTACATCCGGAAAAGAATATTCGCCAATCAGTTACAATGCCTCAACATAAATATTCGACAACATTACATCTTCAAAATACACAGCAACAACAATCTAATCAAAAAGCTGTGAGCATAACACCAACAGCACCGCCGTCCTCATCATCATCAAATACGATAATGGCAGCTAAACCAACAGTACAACCAGATCCATTATCGACATCATCCATTGTTGGTGGTTCGGGTGGACAGAATGCCGTACTCAAAATGAAAACATTCAATATTCAAAATGAAGATTTTAACAACGGTTGTATTGAAAAACAACATCAACAATCAGTTAATCGAGTTGATTCATCTACACAATCAGATGGTAAGTTTTGTTTTTGTGTACAATTTCATTATATTGGTTAGCTTTTTTTCATGAACATTTTCGACAAGTTTATTTTAGTAAAAATATATTCAGAACTGTTATTCTTGTCTTAATAATATGTATATGTAGTTTATCAAATGCTAATTAAACTATCATTGAGCTGTATTCATGAAAATTTATTTAATTTTTCTTTTTGTTTATAAATGTACCTTCAGTCAAATCTATTCAATATGCTGTGTCTATGTATTCGTTCAAGAATTGATGTATGTTCTAATCAAAATAAAAAATATGGAACAAGAATACAAAAAAAAAACTAATTACTAGTAATGCATACCGAAATGATTGAGCCTTGAGAATATCCCAAACACATATATAATTTTGCTGAATATTAAGATCTTGCTTCCATCAACAATAATAATAATAATAATAACATTACAAACAACGATCAGCAACAAATATATGGCCATGATTATGGCTATGATGAAACCAACATCACTAGCAAAAAAAAATAGATGAACAAATAATAAAACAACAAAAATATGTCGGCAATTTATATAATAAGCATAAATGCAAACATTTAACAGAAAAAATAACGCAACGCATCTTGTTCCAAAATTCTTTTGAACACATAGAATACTCTTAAATACACATATATACAACATGAATCTATAGTAAAATTCTTGTATGCACGTTCATTTATTACATGAATGGATGATTACCCAAAGACAAAAAAAAACTTATATTTACGTGTGTACTGTTCCTATTAGAGTATGAATAACATTTGTGCTTTTTTTTCTGTTTGTAGATTTATATTTATATATTAATATATTGAGGCCGCCGATATCATCACCGTGATGATGATGATCATAACTTAAATGCAAACTGAATGCATTTACCATAGCAATTACTTTTAATTAGATTGCTTAAAATTCTGTTTTTTTTCTATTTTCTTTTTCACTGTTTTCATTATTATTATTGTTATGATTATCGTTTAATGTTTTTGTTTTCATCATTAATGTTTATGGTGATGATGACGATGCTGTTGATTAATGTCGATTGTAGAATAATCTTTTTTATCAAAATATTTAGCTAGAACTTTGAAATTCTTCAAAAAAATACTAATCAAAATCATGATTAAATTCAATGCAATCAAAACATTCATGATATTGAATCGAAATGGCTTTGGTAATCTTAATTTTGTGGTTTGATAATAATAACCATATAAGAAAAAAATGACTATCCTGCTTTCTATGTGTATTTTTATGTTTTTTTTCAACAAAACCATTGATTAGAATGTCCCGAAGGACATTTTTGTTAGCTATCCACCATTTCAATATGTTTTCTTCCATTTGAATTTGCTCTCATTCTCCTCATTCATTAGAAATTTTTCATCCTAATTTGGAACTTAGTTTCAGTTGGATAAATATGAAGATGATAATTGCCAATTTACTTGAAAAGACTTAAGGCAAATATTTTTATTTCAATAACTTTTTGTCAATTGTTCAGATAAGAATCGATAAATGACTAGTATATAATAATGTATTTAACAGAAACAACTATTTACAATTATTTTTTAAATTTATGAAAAAATTTATTTCAATTTTGTGATTTAATTTCAATTAATCTTTCAAATTTTAAAATCATAAATATTGAACAATAATCCTATGCTCATACAATTTAATTAATAAGACCCTTTGACAGTTTGCTTCACTGCCTTAATTCATTAAGATTTTTCAAAAGTTTATTTTATTTTGTAAGTATTCTATTTTGGTTTCTGTCAATTAATTGATCTTTATAAAATAAAAATCATTGAAATGATTCTTAATAATACATTGGAGAATAGAATAGTTTTTTTTTCATGAAAACATTTAAATTATAGCAGACATTACTTGATTTATAAAATTTCGCCATATATTTGTGTATTCAAGAAAAAGTATTTTCCCCCATTTTTTTATTTTAATTTAGGTTTTTTTTCTGGTTCTTCTCATTTATCAATGATATTTTTTTCCAAAAACAAATTTAATGTGCGTTTTTTCTACTATAATCCTTGCATTTGTTGTAAGAATTTATGGAATAAGAATTCTAAAAAATAGAAAAACAATTTAATATTTTTCATTCTTTGTTTATTATTGTTTTGATAAAAATTGTAAATCGATTTATTCGTCACGAAATTTTTTCTAAATCAAATGTTTCAAAATGAAGAAAAACAATGATAATATGAAAAGTATAGTTTTTTTTTTGTATCACGTTTTGATTTGAATAATCTACGAATTCAGACATGTTTTGAATCAAAATGTTTGTGAATAAAAATTCATTTGTTATTGTTTTGTATACAAACATGAAGACTCATTATTTTAAAAATTTGATTAAAAAATTTTCATCCATAAAGAAACAAAGATTCTAAATTCTCATAGAAAATTTTTTCCAACCTTTATTTTTCGAACACTTATTCATTTTTTATAATTTTTTGCTTATCGATTTCTCATTAACATGTATTTTTTTCTTCATTACAGAATATGGAACGTCCGAAATTATGATTGTTACTAATTCTGATGGTCAGCATGCAAAAATTTCAACGGATGTTCGCTATGCAACAGCATCAACTATGACCAATAATGATGATATTATTCCTCATCATCATAATTGCTGTAATAGTAATAAAAATAACAACACATTTACCAAATCGGCAAATATTTTCATCAACATTATCATCGTTATCACAATCTGCCTTTGAAACAACCATAAAAGTTCCGGTTAATCATTAATAAATGTACACAAACTGTTTTAAGTATGATGTAAAAAAAAAGTTTAAATTATTTAATCCCTGGCATTTATTCACGGTAGTCATGTCAATATTAAAATAAGTGAGATAGTATCTAATGCTCCTGAAATAATACTAACCCTAATGACACATCGCTTACCTTTATGGATCAAGAAATTCAGGTGAATCATTATTGTTCCAACATCTGGATATCATTCGACCGTTTTCTATTCTCAAAAATAAATAAGAGTTTATTTTGTTGTTGTACTTTTATTTCCGAAAATTGTTTTTTCCGGTCCTAATCCATTTTTTTATGTTAAATATTAATAAATGTAAATTGAATGATGACAACTCTGTTTTTTATGTTATCATCACTATGTATAATGATTTTGTTGTTGTTGTATATAAAAATATGATTATAATTTTTGTTTATATATAAAAAGAACAATTGTTTTCAACTATAGCAGTTATGAATTTATGGTAATAAATGATTTGGAATTTAATTATTTCCTTGTTGTTGTTGATGTTGTTGTTTTTTATAAAAAATCTATTAAATACATCGTTTTTATTCTATTGAATTTTTGTCATTTGTTTCTGATGTTTTGGAATTTTGTTCTGGACTTGAGAGATATTGAAAATAATGTTGATCAAAATCAAACACCGTAAATCAATTTGCCGACCAATGATCAGTAGACAATATGCATACAAAAAAAAAATTTGAACACTACCATTGTATACAAACATCAATTGTTGTTCAATTTTATAAGCAAGAATATTTGTTGTCATAAAGTTTTGTTGGTCATTAATTTTTTTATCTTTTTTCTTCTTATTTTGCTTTTCAGTTTGGCGTTAAGATGTAGTAAACTGCAGATGACTGTAATAATGAGTTATGACAATATCGTATTCAATAAGGATTATCGACAACAATGACCATCAACCGGAATGAAGAACAAAAAGTGATAATTCTGTAAAAAAAACATTTCAAAAGAAAAGAAAATGACCAACCTAAAAATCGTTCTATTGTAGATTGTAGAAGTGAAAAAAATTCTGTCAAAAATCTCATCTGCAACCATTTAAATAAGCTGTTTTTGGGACAGCATCATTTTTTTTGAAGTGATCTTAATGATCATCATTTCTAGATTCTTATATTCCAATCTTCAAATCAATGGCTATTTACTGATTTGAATGATTATTTAACTGTAAAAAGTTTTGATGATCATTATGATTTACAGTGATGTTCATAATGAATGAAGATTTATTTACGAATTCAAGCGGTCATCAAATGTAATAATGCGCTTTACAAAAAATCTTATTATGAATATAATCACTATAAATGTAAATTATTGATCGTCAATATTGATAACCTATTCAAAGCAAGTATCGAATTGAATGATTTTAATTTCATGCAAATATAAGTCATGCAAGACAAACAAACAGAACAAGATATATACCTGGTAAAAATCCAAATTTTCATTAGTTATGGAGTTAGTGGATATCAGAAAAAATTACAGAAAAATGGCCAATTTTTTCCACAATTTTCTTTCGGTTGATCGATCAATTTTATTTATCGAAACCAACCAAAAAAAAAATTATTGTCGGTAAATAAAATCCCCAAAAATAAGCAATGACCATCATTATTAAAAAAAACCAAAAAATAAATAAAGACAATAAAAACAAAACAAATAGTTTGCCAACATAAATTATAATTATCCGGATTCAGTCAACTGAAACAAAAAAAAAATTGTTTTGTTTAAAATTTTTTAGCTACCGAAAAAAATACATATTCTGTTCCTTTGTCCTGTATCAAACATCATTATTTTGATATAATTAATTTTTTTTCTTAATGATTTAGCCAATAACGTTAATGACAATTTGGGAACAGCAAAAAAAGCAATCAATATAGAAATTAATGAGAAAGAATTTTTTTTAGAAACTATACATGAATCTGATTTTGATGAATTTCTCTATTTTTTAGTTGATTAAGAAAAATTCTTACATTTATTTAATGTATAAGATCGATTTGTGCATTTTATTATGGTCGACATGAAGCTATATCCATCTAATTCTTTCTTTTGATATTATAATATAAGTGAACAGTTAATTAAATGGTGTTATTTTTTTCCATCAATATGTTACACATTGAAAACAACATGAACAACAACAACAACAACAAAATGAACCCAATTCTTGAATACATTTATTTGTTATTAATAATGAAAAAATATATATCATATCCAATCTAATGTAGTTGATTTTGACATATGTATCATATGAGTGTAAAACCGAATTACATGCAACATTTATGCATTCTATACAAACCAGATGGATCCGAATATCTTAAAATGAAATATTACTGCAATACTCAAAATAAAAAATTGGAAATAATATGTAACCAGGAATGTTAGTGGCAAATATAGTCAATGTATCAAACATGAATTCTGAACATTGAAAATTCCATTCATGATTATATGGGCAAAAAAAAATGCTATAGTAATAAGTTGATCAATCGTGTTGACATACATTTTTTCCTCATTATATTTCATTTCGTTTCAATGATTTTCATACCTTTATAAAACCATCGATTGAATTTCAATGTTTAAAGATTAATGCCAATACAAAAACGTCATGAACATCCGTAGATTGTAAATACGAAATAAATTATGGAAAATAATAGAAATTTTATTCTTCAAAAAAAGAAAAATATTCTGATATTGTTTTTATATTCAACGATAAATCATAAAATACAAAAACATTGTACTTATCTACCATTCACGTAGTTGATACGATACTATAGTTCAAGCTTAAATCGTGCTTAAAATAAAATTACAATTATCTTCGCAAAAAAAATTTGGTGACAAATTTGTTTGTTCATTTTTTTTCTACGACCACTCCCTATTGTCACTTTCATAACATTGATTTGCCTTTGGCTTGATAATTTGATTCATTTCAATCAATTAAAATTAGATCACTTGATTTGCTTAAGCAAACAAACAAAAAATTTCTGAATTTGACAGATATGAAAATAAAAGAGTGACTAAAGAAAAAACAATGTTTTCAAATTTGTTTGAGCAATTGAATTCTGGATTGAAAATAAATTTTCATTTGACTATTTAGTGTCAAACAAGAATCGATGTTGACATTTCCAATATATACGAAAAGACTAGAATTAAATTTTTTCCTCTTGGCTATAGTTTCGAATAGTTTGATGTCAAGTTTTAATTATCATTGTCATCATTCTATTTTTTTAATAAACTATTTTTGTTTAAAAAAAGACTTCATATTATATTTAAATGAGCACTAGTTTTATTTGATTCTCACATCTTTACCATAGATTTTTTTTTAAATTAATTTGTGAACAAAAAGTTTTGTATATGGCAATTTTATTTTAATGAATTCGATGTCGAAATGTTGAAACTATTGTGATGGTGTTTTTTTGTAAATAAAGTAGCTATAAATCATGTCAAGTTGATTTAATAATAACATTACAAGAATATATATTTGATGTTTGTCGAAACACAGCTTGTTTGACATAGTTGAATTCATCTTTTTTGTTTGAATGATAAAAGCGTCCAGAAGAAAAAAAGGTACATTCTGATCCTAAGGAATATATAAAAAACAACAATATTAGTGAAAAAAGATGGATTGTCATAACAATGAATTGAATAAATTGAAAAGTAAAAATGTAAAGAAAAAATAATGGAATAAATCATCGAATCTATTGTAAAATTTATGATTAACAATTGTTTGAGTTGATCATTGTTATTTAAATGTTTGATTCTTTTGTATTGGATTTTTTCTTATATCCTAATTTCAAACAAGACAAACTGAAAAATATAATTTTTGAAAATGAAATGTAAATGTAGCGTTATCTAGTGTTGAGATTTGAAACATAATTTTGAGAGTTTTATTATTTCACCAAAAGGTGACACTACTTTATTGTTATATTTTCAATTTCTCCCATCGGTTGTGTGCCAATGTTAGCTAATTAGAAATTCAAACTTCAGAACCGCGAGAAAAAAGAAGAGCCTCGAATTGAGACTTAAAAAATTCATATTTTAAAATATTCTTTCATTATTGATTGTCATTGGCGAATATGAAATTTTTCCCCGAAAGCGAATATCGATCGTCATTTTTTTGTCTAAATTTTCATTTTGAAAAGAATTGAAAAAACATCATTAAAATATAAATCAATTTTTTATTTTAATTTAACGAAATAAATATTTTGGTAGTTTTTCATTGAGTCTTTTAAAACTTTTCATTTTTTTCAAAGAAACGGAATGTTTCACTATTGTTAAACATCTGCAAAATATAAAAAAACTAAAATCTGACTAATCAATCAGTGAAAAAAAAGAAAGCTTGAAAAGAAAGAAAAAAAAAGATCCAAGAAATCAATGGAATTGATTTTTTTTTTACTTGACTGAAAAAAAATCACTACAATGATGTTCATTTATTGTAAATTGTATATTTATTTTCTTTACCTGCAACGGTTAGCATTTGACCACATTGAGATTTTCCAGGAAAAACAACACACCACAAATAAGATGAAATTAATCTTCTTTACTTTTCAGTTTAGGTTATTTTGGCCTCATTCGCTATTCTTAATTTTCCATGGAAAATTTATTTTGATTCATTCATTCAGATAGTCATAAACTGTTTACAGTGACTATGATGTCTGTGTATAATTGTTGTGTAAATGCAAGGACAATTCTTTGGAAATCTACATTTTTCTCTCGCTTTCTTACTCTCTCTCCCCTACCAAGCAATAAATGATGATCATATATGTTTGTATTTTATATTGCTCAAGGGCCATATCATTGTCAAAAGAAAAAAAGAACATTTTCTGGTTACTCGTGGTAACGATAATAACAATAAAGTTTTGCTAGATATAATAGGCTGGACTTAATGTTATATTACAATTTTGGCAAAAGTTAAATAATTTTGTTAAAAACCGAATTTTTTCCAATTAAAGATGAAATTCATCAAACAGCATTTTTAGTAGATTGATATTCTTTGATTCTATGATTGTTAATAAATCAGATAAAGATGAAGATTTTCTTTTCTAGCGCCTGTTGGATTGTTCATTATGAATACCCAAAAATAAGCGAATAGAAATTATCAATTGTTTAAAGCTAAAAAACATGTACCACATTCACCATCGGAAGTTGAGTCATAAATAATTGACGGTATACCCTTCGCTGTATAGATTATATATAACAATGATATTGTTTTACCGCTACAACAAAAACATACCATTTGAATCTTTTGGTTTCTACCCAACACAAAAAATGTGTGTGCGGACGACGACGACGACGACGACTGCAAACATGGAATAAGACATGGGCATGGATTGTTGTTCTAATTTAATGCTACAAACACAAAATCCAATATTCACAGAATTTTCTATCATTTTTGATTTGGTTCTCGACCATTACAGTCATTCGTCATTCATTAGTTTCATAAGTGTTATTCATTTTTTTGTTGAAAATTAAAAATTTGACATTTGTTTTTTTTTGACAAAATTGTCAATATTAACTAAATTCAATAAAAAGCAAATAACGATTTCGATTAAAATCATATCATCATTAATTTCCGGTTTTTATTTAAAATCTATCCATTTCAATTAAGGTATGTGATAATTTTTATAAGATTCGAATCACTTATTTTTTAGTAGACTTTTTGGTATTTTATTTGATTTTTTATTCCTGACTATAATATTCTTTTTTTTTAGTTTGATAAAACCGATAACTTACATGAAACACTTATTCATAAACACATAGACACTATCATAGTTTGTGCTTGTGTGTGTTTTGTTTGTAAATCTAGAACATGTGTCGAATTCGATCGATTCCATATTTTTTGTTTCGTGTTCTGATTCTCCGGGATACTTGAATTCATAAAAAGAAGAAAACTAAATGCAAGATAGAAAGAAAAGAAAAAGAAAAAAAAATATTCATAATTTATCGACTAGAATTTGAATGTCGAACCCTTCGCATTTAACAAACATTCATATTTGATAATGATGTAAATTGCGTGCTTTGGTACCAAAATATTACAAACAATATATTTACATATATATCATTGGCAAGTTCCAGTAGGAAAGAAAATAAAAAAAAGTTCCTCAATATCCTGCTATGCAATGTATTGTAAAATTCATAAAATATAACCTAATAAGCTAAAAGCCGAAAATGAAGTGAATAAGAATGATTGAAAATGGAGAAAAAAAATTGTTTCACAAATCTGTTTTGTCAGATTTGATAGAATAGAACGATCATTTTTGTGTTATATGGTGTTGTGAATGAACAAGAAAAGAAATGCGCTTCCAGACACGCGTTTTATTTTGTTATAATCTACAATCTTTTTTTCAAAAATGATGATGGTGGTAGTGTTTTTGAAAAAGGAATATTCAAAAAGATTATCTTATCGTATAATTGCATATATATTGGAACCATTCCAATAAATTCTTTTCTAACTGCTTTTGTTTTGAAATGAACCCGGCTGTTTCCAAAAAGAAAACAAAAATCTGGCCAAAATTCTCATCATCATTTAAAAAGATGAATAAATAAATGCTTCTGTTACTGTTTTAGCTGTTGTAGTATTTTTGTTTTGTTTTTTCTATTGGACACCCCATGTGTACATTTGAGCTCAGCTTTTGTTTTGGAACTTTTCATTTTTTTTTCATTTTATGATCCTTTACTTGATAGTGAGATCAGCTTTCGTACGGAATATTTTTAGCTGGAAATTCTCATTGTTTTCATTCATGGTTTCCATGTGTACCGTACAACGATGTGTGTGTGTGTACATGAATGCGTTACATTAGCAAGTTCGCTAGGGATTTAACGATGATGACGATACTGAATCCTGGATCACGATGATGATGATAATGTTTACCAAGCAAAGAATTCCGTTCATATATTTTTGAATCATTGAGGAGGAAGAAAATGTTTTTGATCATCTAGTCATCATCAAAATAATAATCATCATCATGGCATTAGATTAGATATGTTCATTTGAAAGAGGAGGACATCTGTATAATAAAATGGTCAAAAATATTATTGTACAATTCGCTAGAATATAATATAATTCAATATCAATGTCGAATAAACTCAACCATATCGATTATTATTTTCTATAATGTTATTATTCTTCAAATGAATGGCAGATATATATATTTTTTGATGAAAAATACTAATCAAATCGAATACATGTTTCTTGGGTGTGTGTGTGTGTGTGTGTATGTGTCGGTATATCTCAATCCACATTCGTAAATCAGACTAGCTCAAAATTTCGATTGTTGTAATGTAATTCAAACATCAAAAAGTAGAATCCGTATAGAATTTTGTATGAACGAATAATAATTTGGACACGTCCAAATTTTCGACAAACTTTGATGGAAAACATTAACAACACGTACAATTTTCTTTTTCTCTTTTGATTATTTCATATAAATTGAATTAGACATGTTTCGAATCGAACAAAGTGATGATAATCATCAAATGTATTCACATCAAGAATGTCAAATATGGTCAGATAAAATGTTCTGTTCTATATCTGGATTTTTATCTCTTTATTATTATTACTTACATTTTATGTTATACACATTATTAGCAATCCAAATCAAATATAATAATATTTAGTTTGCTTGTTATTTATTCTTTTTCACGCCTGGTCTATTATCATTATCATTATATCAATGAGATGATGATGAAAAAAATTGATATTTATTTAATATAATGTTGTGTTGTTTTTAATTAACCAAAAAAAAAACTCGAAATGAGATTCATTCTCGATCCCACATATTTATTATTATTACTTTTTATTATCGTTTGTTTGGTTCTTTTTTTTTGATCTCTGTTGAGAAGTATCGCACCCTAAAATTCCTTTATTGAAATGTTCGTTAAAGTTCCAAATTAATCTCTTCTTGCTTTTTCGTCTCACCCTCCATTCTTTTCTTTGCATTTTATCGATGAGAATTTTCGGCTTCTCACGGAAACTGCCTAATTTTTTTTCATCCACAAAGTTTATCACTCTTTTTTTCGGGTTTTATCTTTATTTGTTTATTTTACTACTATTCTAATTAGCAATTTTACAGATCATTTCTTTATTACTATAATTAGTTATGTTCATTAAAATTTGTACAACACAATCTTAATCAAAAACATCCAACATTGTTTATACGTGTTGCAATTAGTTTCAATGTTTTTTTCCATATGTTATCAATATTTTTTGATTGATTGATATAAATTATATAAAACAGTCATGATAAACATAATTGTTATAATTTTCTTGAAAAAATTAAGTTAATTCTATTTTGGTTTGATTATCATTGATTTTGTTTTGTTACAATATTGCCAAAAATGATTTGCCTAATCAATCTCATAATATGTTTGATCAAAGGTAATTCCAGCTAATCATTGAAGGGACTTGATTTTGTTATGATTATTCATCATACCTATTTATAATGATAACAAATAATGATAATCAATCAGACATTTGGCCACCATCTGCGATTGTCAAGACATTTATTATTGATTTTTGTTTACTGTACTTTTTTATTTTTCAAACTTTGCCGGAAATATGGATTTTATTATCATTTTATGAGATAATATTGCCATTTTCAGTTTTTTTTGATGCATCCGATATACTTTGACTGTTTTGTATTTCAAGCCAAAGTTAATTGTTTGATGTATGATGTTTTCATGATCATGTTATTATCGTAAAAAAATAAATTTAATTAAATGTTTGAAAAGAGACAACAAAAACAGACATTGTGGGTGATTTTTTTTAATTTCTTCTTTTCAATGTGGAATTTCATTTCTCTTGTGTTGTTGGCGGTTTCTCTCATTTTTCGGGAATGTCATTTGAAATTTTTCATTGTTTGCTAGTTTTTTTATTGAAAAAATTACTGTCCAACACAATAATTAATTCAAGAGTATAGAAGGTCACTTTTTATTATAAACCAATGCGAATAGATAGAAAGAGAATGAAAGAGATGGATGTTCAATGTTTGTTTGTGATTTCTTTGTTTAGATTCACAATTTTATCATACAAACAATGAGCAAACAAATCAAAACCATTCAACCATTATCCCGTAGATATGATTAGATGCTGGTGATGAATTGAATTTTAATTTTACAATTCGTTAAAACAATTTCTTTCTTTCTTTTTTTTTGTAAATCGATTCATCTTGATCGATTTTAGATGGAATATAAGTCGACGACAACAATGGTAATCATTTCATCATCACCATCATCGAAAGATTTAAAAAAACGAACAAAATAAAATTGTTTGTTTGTTTTTTGATTATTACTTTTTGATTTTCACAATCAAAACATAACTAGATTCGATTTATGGCCATTTATCATTGTCTATGTTTCATAGCAACGTTGTAATTTCAATGTTTCATTTTGTTCGAGGATACAAGTAAAACAAAAAAAAAGTTATACACATGGTGTGGAATGACAAATGATGACATTTCTTTCTCTTCCCAGTTTCTCTATTTTATAACAACAGTATACTGGTCAGGAATAAATCTTTATTAAATTCATATCAAACATTGCCTCAATATTATATGAAACCATGAAGTTTTCCCTTTCTCTCTTCTTCTGACACGAAACACTAATTATTCACCGAGAAGGAAAGAAAAGAATTTTGAGCCAAAAATTGTTTCGAGTTTCAAGAGAAAGTGAAAGAGAGAGTTGAACATTTTGTTTTGGTTCACATATAAACCAGCTGCTTTAATTTAGTTTTAGCTTTTTGGACACTCTTGACCTACAAGGATAATTTGTTTTTTGTTTCAATATTGTTGTGTTGCCAAAAAAACCCTAGCATAACAAATGCAAACATCAAATTCAAACAAATTAATTTTCCATGAAAGAACGGAATGTATAACTTGACTATTGTAAACTATACTGCATATCAATTGATTGAAAAAAATTCCGAGTAACAAGAGAATTCACCCATAGAAATAGTACAAAGAAAGAAAAAAATAATTTTCTCTTTTTACCGCTTGATTATCTATTCTTGAAAATAAGATTCTTTTTTTTCATTACTACTTTTGAAAATTAATTTTCACCAAATTTTCCGTATGTTTTTTTTTCTGGCATCTTGGTAAACTTTATTTTGTAGTTATAATGAAAAAAGAAAAATTAATTTTATGAATTTCAAATTTGAAATTATTTCTTTTCGTTTTCTCACCAATGTACGATAATATTAATGTCCAATAGTAATGATGATGAAGTTTATTTTCGTTAAAAAAAACGGAAGGCAAGCACTTTTCTTCTATTATTACTCATGTAATTTGCATACATTATTATCATTCTCAATATATTTTCTATGTATGATTCAATAAATTTTTGAATCCATAACATTCTAGATAATATTATTGCCAGCAAATTATATAACCAAACCTGATCGATCAACTAAATAAGGGGTTAGATTTGGTAGCATTTGTTTTTTGTTGCACACACACACAATTGTCATTACCATAAATAAACTAAGAAAAAAATATTATGATCTGTTTTCAACTAATAGAATATCGTGATGAAAATCAAATTCTTTTATTACGTGATTCACAAAAAATATGTTCATTGATAATGATAGAAAAAGAAGCGACAAAAAAAATGAAA